ATTTATATAAATCACATGCACCAACTCATTTCATCATCTTCCACTGTAACCAGCCAAGGGATTCATTGATTTCTATGTATCTAATACAAATGATCAGATAAAACCACATTCACACCATTTCCCTATTTTGAAGAAGACATGAGTTATGTAGTTGAGCCATGTCTGGCACTAGGGGGTGTGGTATATATCAGGCAAGCTGGGTACTCCAACTGTTGAGGAACTACAAGTCCCCTAAGGCATTGCAAGACTAACAGTCACAGGCATGACTCCTAGAGGCATGCTGGGATTTTTAGTTCCACTACAACTGGAGTGCCCCGGTTGCCAACCCCTGGCATACGCTCTATGATCAGTTCACACCCTAAAGCGCATGATACACTATACAATCAGATTGTACCATCTTAGATCTACCACCAACATCTATGTAATGTGAGGACCTGTGCGATTGGATAGAAATTGACTAGACTGCATAGGTTTGTCCTCATTGTACATAGTTTTGACGAATTTAAATGAGATTGTGCAATCAGATTGTAGTGTGTATGGCCCACCTATACACACAGAGGTCATCAGATCTTCCCATACACTAGCCCATGTCAGCCCAATGCCCACATATAGGATTAGATAAGCGAGCCAGCGCTGTAATGGGACATGGAGGCGATCAGCAGCAGCTGTCAGATCATTGCATCATCCTAATGACAGGGCGCTGGAAGTGAGGACGTAGACAGGCTCTCACCGGTTGCTAGTTGAAGACAGAAGAGCTGGGGGCACACAGGGACATGACACACATTACAATCTTCATGACAGCGACCCACCAACAACCTGTGTCGAAAGTGCGAACTTATCGAGTTGTGGGACCGCATTACTTCCGGTTTCAGGCATCAACAACTCATTGGGAATAACAGAGAATCTTATTGGTAGGAGAAGTTCACCGAGCTGGAGGAAGCCATACAAAAAGTCCCACACCAATAGTAAAGCCCGGTGGATGACAAGCCTCTTCCTATTGGCTAAGGAACTTCACAACCACTTTTCTGATTGGTAACACGCCATGTCACACTTTAGCCTATTGCTTCCTGCAATCGCTAGCCCTTTTCCGAACGTCAGGACGTAAAGCACGCCTTCGTGGTGGGTGACGTACGAGGAGAGGCGGGCTATAACTGGGTAGTACGACCTATTACAGATAAAGGTACATTGTGCAAACCTCTTATTGGCCATCGTCTCTGTCAAACGCTGCACAGGTGTTTCCATGTCCTCTCGGTGGCGCTCGTATACCGAAATTCCCAATTATAGTTACTAGCTATTGTCAGTAATATGGAGGCGCCCTCTAGAGGCAAGCCTTCATTACAGCAACCTAAATAGTCTGCGTGTATAGAATTTCTTTGGAACACGTATTTATAGTGTATTTCCACGTTTGTAGTCACATTCTATAACTCCCCTTTCCATCTGTTTATGTTACATAGTAAGAGCTCTCGGTTGTCTATAACGGCTCCTAAATGGGCTTTGCGGGCTCTCTATGGGGCTCTGAGGTGGCCTGTATGGGCTCCCAGGGAGGCTTTGGAGCTTCCAGGTGGTCTATAAGGGCTCTTAGGTGGGCTCTACAGTCACTCAGATGGTCTGGCTTGGTTCTCAGGGGGCTGTGCAGCTCTCAGGTGGTCTATAAGGGCTCTTAGGTGGGCTCTGTGGGCACTGAGATGGTGTGTATTGGCTCTCAGGGGGGCTGTGCAGCTCTTGGGTGGTCTATAATGGCTCTGGGGGCACTCAGGCGGTGTGTATGGGCTCTCAAGGAGGCTGCGGTGCTCTCAGGGGGGCTGTGCGGCTCTGCCTCTAACTAGACTGCCACTCGCTGCTGGCTAGGTCCCCAGGAGGCCCCAGCGAGCGGCCGTCTAATATGCCGGAATAGAGGGCCACCGCTGCCTGATTGTGGCTCTCCAAAATGCAGCTATGGCTCTATTGCGCGTGTGCCAGCCAGATACCTCAGAAACCATCCTTGGTGTCAGTGCACCTGCGCGGCTCCTCTCCCCATGGCATTCTACAGCTCTCCTCACTGCGCCTGTGCGGCATTCGACAGCAACATCCGGCATCTCTGAAGATCGTTACTGCTCCTGCGTGCCCATCAGTTCAGCAGTACAACAGACTTGGGCTCTCGTGCCAGTAGAGAGGGCCCCGCATGCACGCTCTAGGTTTGCCACCACTGCCCTAAGGCAATCGGATATTTCCTGGATCAACAATCTCTGGTGTTTTTTCACTTAGAAAATGATAATATCTAGTTATATTCTGTGCATTCAGTAATGCATTCAGATTTTTTTTGTAACAATTAACTGAGCTAGCTAGAACTAGTTCATGAGGAATTTAATTCCACATTTTCCCAGCTCTAACTGTGAAGAATCCTTTCCATATGCAAAGATTAAACCTCTTTTCCTCCAGATGCAAAGAGTGCCCTCTTGTCCTTTGCAGTGGCTTTAAAGTGAATAATGTGGCGCCAAGCTCACTATATGGACCATTTATGTATTTATACATGGTGATCATGTCCCCCCCTTAACCCCTTCATGACTGACTTCTACAGAGAGAACAATTTTAGGTCAGTTAATCTTTCCTCAAAGCTGAGCTCCTCTCTCTCCTGGCTGTCTCTCCTCGCTCTCCTGGCTGTCTCTCCTTGCTCTCTCTCCTGGCTGTCTCTCCTTGCTCTCTCTCCTGGCTGTCTCTCCTTGCTGTCTCTCCTGGCTGTCTCTCCTGGCTGTCTCTCCTTGCTCATCCTCCTGGCTGTCTCTCCTTGCTCATCCTCCTGGCTGTCTCTCTTCACTCTCTTGGCTGTCTCTCCTCTCTCCCCTGACTGTCTCTCCTCTCTCTTTCCTGGCTATCTCTCCTTGCTCTCTCCTGTCTGTCTCTCCCCGCTCTCTCTCCTGGCTCACCTTGCTGTATTCTGCAAACAGTGTAGTGCAACAGGCTGTGTAAGCTAATATTCTTTGACATAGGACATAGTACATAACACTTCAACCACCAGTATCCACCAGAAAGGTGTCAGGGAGCTTGGCTCAGCAGACTCAGGCTAATAGGTAACCATGTGTGCACAGCTAAATAAATATACCAAAATGGAATAAAGGGGCCACCTTTCACACCCTTCATGATCTACCAGCATCAGCTTTGAGAGCTACTGGTAGATCACAATCTACCTAATGGGCAGCCCTGATGTAAAACAATCTTCAGAAGGCAGGCTCTGTGTGTTGTGACACAAGAAAGTACATATTAACAGGGCTGAGTGAAATTCTGTCAGTGCATTGAGGAAGTTCATCCCATGGGCATTGTGTACAAACCAGCAAAATAAATCTCTCCTTGCTCATCCTCCTGGCTGTCTCTCTTCACTCTCTTGGCTGTCTCTCCTCTCTCCCCTGACTGTCTCTCCTCTCTCTTTCCTGGCTATCTCTCCTTGCTCTCTCCTGTCTGTCTCTCCCCGCTCTCTCTCCTGGCTCACCTTGCTGTATTTTGCAAACAGTGCAGTGCAACAGGCTGTGTAAACTAATATTCTTTGATGTAATACATAGCACTTCAACCACCAGTATCCAGCAGAAAGGAGTCAGGGAGCTTGGCTCAGCAGACTCAGGCTAATAGGTAATCATGTGTGCACAGCTAAATAAATATAACAAAATGGAATAAAGGGGCCGCCATTCACACCCTTCCTGATCTACCAGCTTTGAGAGCTACTAGTAGATCACGATCTACCTAATGGGCACCCCTTCTCTAGAGTGTATGATGCATGCATGTTTTTAGTCCCCAACTGCAGCTTTACATTATCAACATTAAACTTAATTTGCCAAATAGATGCCCAATCACACAGTGCATTCACATCTGCTTGTAAGTTGGAGACATCCTGTAAGGACTTTATTCCACTACATAGCTTGATGTCATCTGCAAACACAGAAATTGTACTTTTTAGGGATGCACCTATACCAATACCAGTATCGGCGCCGATACTGGGCATTTTTCAAGTACTCATGAAAATGCCCTGATACTAAGCGCCGATACTGGCACTTTAAATGTTTAAATGGGTTCAGCTGCCTGAAGTCCTGAACTTGCTGGGAGCCTCAGCAGCCGGTCCAGCCTCTTCCGCCCCATCGCCCGCACCCACGAGACCCCGTACTGCATGGTGAGACACCACACACAGCCCTGGGGAGAATGCACGGCCCTGGAGAGACACCACACACAGCCCTGGAGAGACGCCGCACAAAGCCCTGGGGAGAATGCAAAGCACTGGGAAGATGCTGCACACAGCCCCGGTGAGAATGCACAGCCCTGGTAAGAATGCACAGCCCTGGGGAGACCTAATGCAGCTCTGGGGAGAATGCACAGCCCCTGGGAGATGCTGCACAAAGCTCTGGTTGGAATGTACAGCCCTGGGGAGATGCTGCACAAAGCCCTGATGAGAATGCACAGCCCTAGGGAGAATGCACAGCCCTGGGGAGATGCTGCACACATCTGATGGGCTTAAAGTTAAAGTCATTTACGCATTAAATATCTCCCCCCGTAGAGGAGATTTTGATAGGATCCTTCAACAGCGGGAGAAGATGTGGATCTATAGATTAAATACAATGATTCCGATAGGATTAAACAATGAATGCAGCCTTAATGTCTTCTTATAAGACAAACTGTCTCCAACCTATCCCTATAATGGATCCACTTCTTCTCCAATGATCCACTCACACGGGGACCAATCCATCCTAAGAGTGTTAATATATCGTTTAAAAGTAAAAATCTGTATATAAAAACGGCTACGGTATGTAGAAACCATTTTCATTTGCAATACAGAAATGTAAGTTTTATTTGACACTGTCTAATGAAACCGATAGAAGGTTGTATCAAAGGAGGGAGAATTATCCTTTTAAACATAAACCAATGAATGTAAAAGGAGGAAAAGAAATGGGCGTGACCCTACTACTTAAGGAACATCTCTCCCAACTTTTGATTATGTCCTGACGAAGCCCCGTACAATGGGAGGGGTGAAACGCGTCGACAGATAGACAAAGATCAAACGTGCAGTCATCACACCACAAGTGGATATATGATCCTGAAACCTGATCCTGAAGATTTGCCAATCTTGGTAAAATCCTAAATTGGGGCTGGCGGTTCTCACAGACGGACAGACTATATCCTGAACATCCAGGAGATTACCAAAGATCCACGGAGTAAAAACACCACTCGAACCTACCATTGGAGACCAGATTACAACAAACATCTCCCGGAGGAAATAGCGAGACGTGCCCATACTCAAGTGGACTATCGAATCACACTGGAAAAATCCCCAAACCGCCCGGACTTCGAGAAAACTACAGTAACGCGAGTGATAAAAAAATTTATATATACATATCCGTTGAGGACATCATTTAAATATCACTCTGAGGTAGAGATTTACAACATCTATACTCAACACTAAACATAAGGAGAAAGAGAAGAAAAAGTCAGGCGGTTGGTCAATTAAAGATAACCCAGTGATAGTCTGTCCCCTCCCCTCTAAACAAAAGGACTTGTTACACCTCACCGCTCTAATTAGGGTAATTCATTGCTGATGAATAGGAAGGAGTTAATTGCACATATGGCTAGACCGAAGCCAGTGGCATTTAACACCAAACAACAGGAAAACTTAATTTCAAATAATAAACAGAAAACAGAAGGCAAAATAATTTGGAAGTAAAGTAAAAATAAATCCCTCCGAAATAAGAAGATATCTACACAGGAAACATCAAACTAACAAGCAACATCTGTAAATACCTGTCATAATCCAACGGAAAGCAGAGAAAGCCAGTGTTGCAATCACTGATCTGTCT